GGCGATTCATCTTTGCCTCGGCCGCCACATGTGGCTTTGTTCGCCTTCCCCTTCGCATCACACGTCGCGCCATTCTATTCACTGGCGCGTGCTCTCGCCGCGGCTGCTCCGTCTGCCATCTTTTCCTTCGTGAGTACAGCTAAAACCCTCGAATCCCTTCCGAGAACCGCCGGAAATCTTCGTCTGTTACCATTCGAGGAGGAGATCCCGGACGGCGGATCTTCTGCTGGACTTGAGGAGATGGTCGGGAAGTTCTTGCAGGCGGCCCCGGGGAAAATCCGGGCTGCTGCAAATGCTGCCGCGGCAGATGTCGGGGGGATACCGGTGAGCTGCGTGGTGAGCGATGCGTTTATGTGGATGGCGGATTTTGTGGCAGAGGAGTTGGAGGTGCCATGGGTTGCTCTTTTTCCTGGGTTCCCGTTAGCGTTATTGGCACACGCTCACACCGATGATCTGCGCAGCCGTTTTGGTAGTGAGGATCAAGGTATTCTTCTATACCTTGTTCGCGTATTATCTTTTACTAGCAGTATTTGAATTTAGTTTTTTTTTCACTATTTGCTCGTGAAAAATTTATGCGCTTTAGGAATTAGAGTTGATAACTGCGCAAGATTGAAGTTTGCTTGTGGTTGATTTGAGTTGACTCAAGAATGGCTTGCATGAAATAAAAAAAATAATAATTTTTTGAATTGACCCATGTTGCTTAGCTGTTTCAATCTGTATGACATACAGCTAAAATTATAAAAAGTTTTCTTAATTTGTGTAAGGATCCGAAAGTTTGGTAAAGCTTAATTAATCATCATGCACGGGGTTTTTCTTTTTGAAAAGAAGAAAAACGCTATGCCATTCATTTCATCCATATAGTGCGCTCTATTCCTGTCTAATGTTTATATATAGAATAGCAATCTGATTGAACATTGATTGAGAGAATTGATGAAAAATTGAGATCTCAAGCATCGTACGCACAGTCTTTACCAGATGATGATCTCAAGAGGAAGAAGACTGTTGCATTCTGTTCAATCTAGATTCATGATCTTTCCAAATGACTGTAACTAGGCTTTCTAAATGATTTTGGTTATGTAGTATAACTTTATAATTCAAGTTATGCTTTCCTACAATTATAACACACCGATTGTGTGAACAAGTTGGTATACAAAGAAAGAAAGACAACTATTGACAGTAAATATTATATATGTATGTAGTTTATCAAAACTCTAACAGTGAATAATTAGTAACTAATCATAATTATCAACTGCATGGTACAATTATCATTCTATGGTGCTGAACGCAGCTTTGAATTTCGTACCAGGAGATGAACTAAGGTTTTGCATATTTTGACAATCATGTCTGCTCGGGGGAGTGTTGTTTAGGCAACAAAACGCTTCTTTTATGCATCGAAGTCACCTAAGTTATACGCACATTTAGTAGGTTCTATCTTTTAATGTGATGAAAATTGTTATTTTTATTCAATTGATTGTTTTGAACAGAAATCAACATATATGTAAACTACAAAGGCGCCAAGAACAGTGATCTCCTTTTTCACACATCAGACCTGTTCGCATAAAACTTTTGTGAAACAGACTAATCTGAATTTTCTACTTGTTTCACTCACTGAAATTTTATTGTACCATCACTCTCACTGTTTGCTACTTTCATTAACATCTGTCTTTTAAGCATTTTTTATATTCAGAATCTGAAAATTTTCATTAACATCGTCTATAACATTATAAACTCTTGAATTCTTGCCTCGTTTTACATCCCAATTATATTGTTCTGTTTCTATAAAAATTCCATATTTGATTGCAGTGATGCCTACTCATGCTGACAAACTCCTTGACTTCATTCCTGGCCTGGCCACCATGCGTGTTTGTGACCTTCCAGAAGGCATCATCTTTGGCGATACTAACTCTAAATTCGCTCTCAACATCCATAGCATGGCTCATCGCCTCCCCCGAGCTGCTGCCATCGTCCTCACAACTTTGGCCGACCTTGAACCTGATTCAACTTTTCATAACACTTACAGCCTGAGTCTCCCCATTGGTCCACTCAACCTCCTCTCTCCACCACCATCCAGTCCAGACAAAGAAAACTGCCTTCCATTTCTGGACTCCCATGAACCCTCTTCAGTTGTATATGTTGCCTTCGGCACATTCAATGCTCTGCCGCCGGCCGAGTTAGCCGAGCTCGCTCATGGACTTGAGGACGGCGGTGTACCCTTTTTATGGTCTCTCAAGGAGGAGATTCGATCCAACCTGCCGGAGGGGTTTGTGGAGCGAACACGATTGAGGGGGAAGATAGTGAATTGGGCGCCGCAGGTGTCCGTATTAAGTCACCCAGCTGTGGGCGTCTTCGTCACACACTGTGGATGGAATTCAGTACAGGAGAGCATAATGTCTGACATGGTGATGTTGTGCAGGCCGATCTTTGCCGAGCAGAGGATGATAGGAAGGGCGGTGGAGTCGATGTGGGGAGTAGGAACAAATCTCGATTCTGGTATTACGAGAGAAGCATTAGTTAGCGCCATGAATGGAGTTTTGAAAGGAGATAATGGGAAGAAGATGAGGAAGAGAGCGGTGGAGATAAGAGAGAGGACGGAGAAGGCTCTGTTGCCTGGTGGGAGTTTCTCGAAGAACTTGAAGAGTTTGGTGGCGTTAGTCTGCAGAATATGATATTTGGTTATTGATTGGATGTTCTTGAAGCTTGATTTGTTGACATAAATGAAGTTGGGCGTGCTGAAATTTATGTTCTATAAAGTATGATTTTTTTTTATTTGTAACAATAAGTGTTGAAATGTCAGTCAGTATTTTTTTTCTTGCGAGTTTGTTACAGGAGGGAGAAAGGTCTTTGAATTTGTTTGCTAAATTGTTCAGGTATTTATGGGACACATGACATGCAAAACTTGATACAATTATGAGATGTAATCATAATGGAAAAATATAATTGCCAAGTAGTCTTTATTTATGGTTATGAAATATTCTAGAATTTCTCCTTATTCTTTCTTTTTCTTTTTCTCACTCTTTTGTTTTATTTGAGACAGTTTTTTACAACAACATAAAGCCTTTATCCTACTACGTGAGGTCAGAGACATGAATTATTTTTCTCCATTTTGTCTTGTAAAGAGTTAAATTTTCATTTAAATCTAATAATGAAAGGTCATTTCTATTATTTTTTAGCCAAATGTATTTAGGTCTATCGCTACCTTTCTTAACATAGATCAAATGTAAAGCATCTCTCATAACCAGGTCATCGGAAGGTAGCCGTTTTATGTGATCAAATCATCTAAGGTGACTCTCTCTAGTCTTTTCTGCCACTGGAGATGCTCCAACATTTTCACATATATTCTCGTTTCGTATTCTGTCTCTAAGAGTCAAGCCACTCATCCACCTGAGCATTCTCATCTCTGCAACACTTAACTTAATATTATGCTTCTCTTTTAATGGCCAATATTCTTCGGCATAAAGTATTACATGTATAATAACCATCTTATAAAAATTTTCCTTAAGTTTGAGTGGTACTTTTCTATCACACAACAAGTCCAATGCATTCTCCATTTCAACCATCCAACTTGAATTCTACTACTAATAATATCCCATCTATTTTACCATCACTATGAACTATAGACCCAAGATATCTAAAACATGTACTCTTATTAATGACTTGATCGCATAAAGTCACAAACCCCCATTAGATCTATTATTCATAAAATTACGCTCAATGTATTCTATTTTAGATCTACTTAAACGAAAACCTTTAAACTCTAAGGTTGACCTCCATAATTCAAGTTTATCTTTAACTCCCTCTTTAGTTTTATCAATAAGAAGAATATGATCAGCAAAAAACATACACTAGGGAACATCCTGTTGCAAATCTCTAGTAAGAAAATCCATGACTAAACCAAAAAGATATGGGCTTAAGGCTGATCCTTGATGTAATCCAATTAAAATTACAAAATACTTGGTCAAACCATCTTGTGTTTGAACATGCACAAATAATAGCTCCATCATATATATCCATAATGACTTGAATATAAACATTATTAACCCCTTGCTTTTTTAGAACTCTCCATAGCACTTCTCTTGGAACTTTATCATATAATTTCTCTAAATCACTAAATATGACCTGAAGATCCTCGTTATTCTCTCTATACTTCTCCATCAAACATCTCAATAAATGTATGACTTTCATAGTAGACCTACCCGGCATGAATCCAAATGAATTTTGAGAAACATTAGTATCACATCGTAATCTATGCTCCATAACTCTCTCCCATTGTTTTAAATTATGACACATCAACAAAATTCCTCTATAATTCGTATAATCTTTTGCATTGCCTTTATTATTAAAAATAGGAATCAACACACTCTTTCTTCACACTTATGACATCTTTTTAGTCTTCAAAATAATATTAAAAAGTTTAGTAAGACAATAAATTTCTTCATATCCTAAGCATTTTCACACATTTATTGGCATATCATCAAGTCCAAGTGTCTTCCCACATTTCATTTTCTTTGAAGGCTCTCTAACTTCAATTTTGGTAACACGTCGATAAAAATAAAAAATTATATTTTCATTTGAAATGCAAACTAAAATCAATCTTATTTTCATAATCTTCATTGAAAAGCTTAGCAAAATATCTCATCCACCTTTATTGAATATCCTCTTCTAAAATAAATATTTTTTGATCTTCATTCTTAATTCACTTCACTTGAACTAAATCCTTACTACCCTTATCTCTTTGTTAGGCTATCTTATACATGTATCTTTCACGCTCTTTAGTATTTAATCTAATATATAAATCATTAAAAGCTAAAGTCTTTATATCGTAGTTTGCTTTCTTAGATCTCTTACGGACATCTTTATATCTTTTTTAATTTTTAGAATTTTTACATCTAAAATAATTTTTATAACAGAGCTTCTTATTTTTGATATTTTCTTACACATTTTGATTTCACAACCAACTATTTTACTATTAGAAGCTTTTTCTTTTTATACTTCAAGCATATCATTTGCAATATTTTTAATATTACAAAATACTACTTCCCACATAACTTTAGCTTCCTCATGCACCCATAAAATATTAAGATCGTGAATTTTACTCTCCAAGATATTTTTTTTAGAGTTCTTAAATAAAACCATCTAATCTTAGAACAATGATTTACAATATTTTTATACTCTATCCCTTCATCTTAAAGTCCAAAATTAATAAGCAATATTGGGTACATAGACATTTACTCGGAACAACTTTACAATCTTTGCAATTTAAATGATATATATTTTCTTACAAGAAAATAATCAATGTAAGATTTACTATATCCATTCTTATAAGTGATGAGACGCTAATCTCTTTGATTAAAAATAATATTAGCAATTATAAAATCATAAGTTAGAGAAAAATCTTATATAATCTTATCACTCTCATTAGTTGCTCCAAACCCAAAGTCACCATGATTACTTTTAAAATCCTCTACCTCTCTACCAACATGCCCATTTAAATCTCTTACAATAAAACTTTCTTTTGTATTAATTCTTCTAAGTCATTTAAATTTTTTAATTTTGAACACATATCCAAACATACTTGAGGAGCATAAATATTTATAATATTAATAATCTTATCATCAACAATAATCTTCAAAGCTATAATTCTATATCTAATTCTATCAATTTTTACAACCTTATCTTTCAAACTCTTATCTATAATCACATATACACCATTTCTGTTACGACTCTCACCAGAATAATAAAGTTTAAACCCTAAACTATTAATCGCCTAATTAAACCTTATCTCCCACCCATTTAGTTTCATGAATGCATATAATATTTATCTTCCCGTGAATCATAATATCAATTAATTCCATTAATTTGTTTGTAAGAGAACCTACATTTTAAGATTCTAATTAAATTTTAGTTTCATGGACTAGCTTCTTTGCCCATATTCGTCCATGATATAGGAACCCTTGCCTATTTAACACTGCATCCAAGTTCTAATGCAACCGCCCTTGCACATTTCTCACTGTATTCAGGCCCTATAGCGGGTCGCTTCTAGGAAACGACCTAGCATTAACACATTGTATTAAATGATTAATGCCATGATTATTTGACAAGTCGTACATTGACAAGTTTTATGCTGGCCCATATATATATATATATATATATATATATATATATATATTTTTCTTAGCATTAACACTAAGAAATTAAAAAAAAAAATCTTAGCATTAAAGTTTTCTTGGTCCTTCAAGGTTGATACTAAATGATCCCTTGATTGAAAGTGATAAACCCATCTATTCACATATGAGGAGTTAGGCCCATATTTGCTAGAGTATTTCTTCTCACATAGAAAACAAAAAATAAAATAAATAAATCTATGAGCTCAACCATCATTATATGCCGACAGAGTGTGAAACTACATGAGGAATCTCCTACTTATAAGAAGCCAAAATAAACTCTTAACACCATGCTACTAGTTAGGGTCCTCCAACAAGCACTAGTGATGTGGGACTATATATTTCCCTCTATTGTTCTCTCAAGCGCTGCCACACCTATGCTAATATGCCTATGCTATCTTGTGAATTATTACCAATTGATTGTTGGGTTTTCATTTTATATTAATGACGAGAATTTTATAAATAAAACATCTGAATTATTGTATTTAAAGGGTATATTTAGGATAACTTTCTTGTTATTTTATTTTTAGGAAGTAATAAATTTTGTACTATTTCTTTTTCATTATTATTTTTTATTTTTAAGATATTTTTGTGGTAGAAAGCCGCTTTCACAACGGAGTAGTTAAAGCTTCGTTTGGAACAATTTTTTTACTTTTTTGCTAATTTTCTGACTACGATCATTATTTCTATATTGCAAATATTTTTTTTTTTACTTTCCGAAAAATTTTGTACTAGGAAGTTGCTTTATACAACAACTTTAAAAAATTACTTTATTCACAGCAACTTTAGAAAACATTAAAAAAGTCATCCGAAAAAAAATCTTAGTTACTTTCCCCACAATGACTTTCCAACTAATTTTATAAAATGCCACAATCATTTTATCAGTGAGAGAAGCAATTCAATTAATATCAGGTTAATTTGTTATACATATTATTGAAGAGATCGAATATTTTAATAGAACTAAGGTCCTCCTAAAGCTGGACATAGAGGAGGCATCCGATGAGGATGTAGGGCATAATAATTAGAATGCTTGTGGCCAAATGATAATCTTGCTTGTGATCCTTTTAATTTTAATTTAAATTTATATTTTAGCATGAAAAAAAATGTATTTAATAGCTTGAAAATATCTTGTTTTTTTATTTTTAGTGAATATTGAATGAATTGATTTACATAGTAATAGTGGCAGTCATTAATGAGGCAGTGATGGCTAGTTGGCAGTTATAGTTATAGGGGTTCAAGACTGTGATGATTATCAACAGTCACGTGCATATAAATGTTCTATCCAAGAGAGATTATTACTTGCAGAATTCAGACACAGATAATCATTTGATTTTGTGACTATGAGCAGTAAAAGTATACTGTTCACAACTGCATTTTTACTATTCACAATCACAAAATCGAACGATTCTTTATATCCGAACTCTGCATGTAATAATCTTTCTTACTAAGATGCACATTTGCATCTTGCTGAAAAATGCTCTAACAACCAAAAAGATAATTTCTGTTCTAACATAATAGAAAATCAAAATATAATAGTGGGAGGCAAAAAGAAAAAAGAAGGGATTTTTACATACATAACACTTCAAAGTTTCTTATTTATTCATCTAACACCTAAACTTACTTATTTACACACATACCATCTAAAACTTATTTGACTTTCTAAAATGCCATTTCGCCCTCCATCTCCGTTAAAACCGGCCCGATACCGCACACATTGGTTGGTCTTCTCGAGTTAGACGCCTCTGACTACGTCACCCGCTTCCGTCTTGCTACCTCGAGTGAACCCGCTGTCGTCCACGTCTC